AGATCAAATAGTGTTGTTTCTGAATCTTCTGTTCTGTTCCACTGATCCACGTGCCTGTTTTTGTGTCAGCACCAGGATGTTTTTATCAACCTAGATTTTGTAATATAACTTCAAATCTAGGATTGTAATGCTTCCTACTTTGCTTTTGTTACACAGCATTGCTTTAGCTATTCTGGATCTCTCTTGTTCCACATGAATTTTAGGACTGTATTGTCTAGTTTTATGAAGAATACTATTGGAACTTTGAATAGGATTGCATTAAATCTATGTATCAATTTGGAAATAATTTGACTATGTTATTCTGCCTATCAAGGAATGGAAAGTACGTTTCCATTTTTTTGATATCTTCTTCAACTTCCTTTTTAAAAGTACTGTAGTTTTCATTGTGGAGGTCTTTGACCTCCCTAGATAACTCTAAGTATTTAATTTTTCTTTGTGGTATTGTGAATGGTTTCTTTTTTCCTAGTTGTTCTCTAGGTAGGTTCATTATTAGTGTACAGGAACATTACTGATTTTTGTGTGTTGATTTTATACCTGCTACATTGTTGAATTTGGCTGTGAGTTTTAGGAGTCTTTGACAGAATTTTTGTGTCAAAATATTTGCAGAGAATCATGTCATCTTCAATTAATGATAATTTAATGTCTTCTTTTCCTATTCATACTCCTTTTACTACTCTGTCTTACCTGATGGCTAATGTTTTGAGAACTATGTCGAACAGGAAAGGTGATAATGAGCATCTTTGTCTTGTTCCTGTTCTTAAAGTGAAGGCTTTCAGTTTTCCCCCATTATATTAAATTATTATTAAATCATGTTAGATATTGGCAGGTTTCCTATAAATAGCTTTTATCATCTTGAGATAAAGGGCTTCTATTCCTATTTTATTGTTTTTATCATGAAATGATGTTGTATTTTCTGCATCTACCCAGATGATCATGTGATTTCTTTTTGTCCTTGCTTCCGTTAATGTGATATATTTATTCATTGGCATATATTGGCCCATCCTTGCATCACTGGGGTGAGGTCTACCTGGTCATGATGTATGATTATTTTCATGATTTGTTGCATTTTTTGCCAATATCTCACTGAGAACTTTTGCATCTATGTGTATTAGAGAAACTGGCCCATAATTCTCTCTCAGTTGGATCCTTGTCTTGTTTTGGAATTAGAATAATGCTAACTTTCAAGAATTATTTTGGGAGTATGCCTTCCCTTTCAATTGCACTAAAGAGTTTGAGGTGTATTGGTGTGAGATTTTCCTTGAAGTTCTTGTAGAAATCAGTAGTGAATTCATGCAGACCTGTGCTTTTCTTAATTGGTAGGTTTTTATTATTAATATTGTTGTTGTTGTTCATTGCCTGCTAGTGGATTATGCAGAGGTTTTATATCTTTTTTATTCAGTTTTGGTAATTTATGTGTATCTAGGAATCTATCAATTTATTCTCAATCCCCCATTTTATTGGGGTAGAATTTTGTGAAATAGCTGTGATTTCACTTCTTCATTTTTGGGCCTTTCTTTTTTCAGTAAGATTGGCCAAGGGTTTGTCTATTTTGTTTATTCTGTTGAAGAACCCACTCTTCAATTCATTGATTGTCCATATTTTAGTCTCCATTTTATTGATGTCTGCTCTGATCTTTATAATTTCTTTTCTAGCTTTGGATTTAGATTGTTTTGTTTTTCTAGGACCTTGTGGTGCATCGTTAGGTTATTTATTTGGGCTTCTTGCTTTTCTGATGTGGTCATTCCTAGCTATAAACGTCCCTCTTGGGACTGCTTTCATTGCGTCCCATAATTCTGGTATATTATTCTGGTTTTATCATCTAATTCTAGGAACTCTCTTATTTCTTCATTTCTTTGTTGGTTTCTTCTGTGACCCATTGATTTATTTAACAGCATATTGTTTAATTCCCATGTGTTTGCATTATCCTGTGGTTAGTTTCATTGTTCTAAAATTTGATAATATGCATGGTATGATTTCAGTTCTTTTGTATTTGCTTAGGCATGCTTTACTGGTTACTACATGGTCTATTTTGTAGAAATTCCATGTGCTGCTGCGAAGAATGTATATTCTGTTGTTAGGTGGAATACTCTGTAAATATCTGTTAAGTCCATTTGTTTGAAGGTTTTCTTCAGTGCTGGCACACTTCTTTCTTTCTTTTTTTGGTACCAGGGATCAAACTCACAACCTCATGCTTGCCAGGCAGGCACTTATGCCGCTGAGCTAAATCCCTGGCTTCTGTACTGGCATTTCTTTGCTAATTTTTTCTCAATTTAATCTGTCCTTTGTGATACTGGGTTACAGAAATTTGCCACTGTAATTGAGTTTATGTTTATGTGATCTTTTATGTCCAGTTGTGCTTTTTATGAATTTCGGTGTTCTGTGTTCAGTGCATATATGTTGGTAATTGTTATCTCTTCTTTGTGAATTATTCCTTTAACCAACATTTAGTGACCTTCTTTGTTTCTTCCAATCAGTTTTGGCTTGAAGGCCACTTTACCTAAAAATAGGATAGCTTAATTCTGCTCCTTTTATGGTTCTCAGTGCATGGAATATTGTTTTCCATCCTTTCATTTTTAGTCTATGAATTTCTTTTCAGGTTAAATGTGTTTCTTGTGGACAGCACTCTACTGGATTTTGTTTCTTGATCCATTCTGCCAATGTACGTCTTTTGATTGGGGTGTTGAGGCCATTCCGGTTGAGAGTTTTTACTGAAAGCTATTGACTTATTCCTGTCGTTGTGTTATTTTCCTGTTGCTCGTTTCCTTTCCTTCCGTTCTACTTCACTTTTGTACTACCTCATGATTCGTTCCTTTAGACCTTGCAGCATTGTCTCTTTCTAGGATAGTCTTGAGAGCTTTTTGGAGTACTAGTCAGTGATCATGAATTTTTTTAAGTACTCTTTATCATGAAAATACCTTATTTATTCATCAGTTCTGAAGGATAATCTTTGGGGGCTGGGGATTTAGCTCAGCAGTATAAGTGCCTGCCTTGCAAGCAGGCAGTCGTGAGTTCGATCCCCAGTACCGATAAAAAGGAAAAAGACAAAAAAAAAATCTTTGTAGGATATATTTCTGCGTTGGAAATTCTTTCTTTCAGAGCTTGAAACATTTCACTACAAACTCTTCTGGGCTTTAAGGTTTGTGTTGAAAAGTCTGCTGTAATTCTGATGGATTTACCTTTATAAGTGATTTATGGTTTTCTTCTAACAACTTTTAAGATTCTGTTCTTATTCTGGACTTCTGGGATTCTGACCATGACGTGTCATCAAGAGGTTCTTCACTGTTTGGCTATCTGTGTGTCTATATATGTCTCTTATTTGTAGTTAAATTGTTTTCTCATATTTGGAATTTTGATATTATTTCAGTAAACAGGATTTTTATGCCATTTGTGCTGTCTTTTGATTCTTCACTAGTTCTAATTAATCTTAGTCTTCTTTGTGTCATCTAGCACATGTTGGGTGTATTTTTTCACATTCTTTTGTTGCTTACAAGGTATCTCATTGGCTGGCATAATGCCTGCCTGGCAAGTGCAAGGTCCTGAGTTTGATTCCCAGTACAAAAAAAAAAGTATCTAACTGGTCATCAACACCTGCTCTGTTTTCTAGTTCTGACACTTCCTTCTCATGTTGAATAAATTTGATCCATATTTTGATACAACTGTTGATCTCCTGAATCTCGGTCCTTTTTATGGACTCTGATTCTTTTCTGTGCTAGGCATTTGTGTTTTACACTATTTTGTTTAGCTCAGCTAGCTTTTTATTAGTGTCTTCCATAGATGCGCTGAGTTTTTCATTAGGTCCATTTTATGTTTACCTGTATCTCCTTTATGCTCATCAAACACCGTATTAATTTATTTATTATCTTTTGTATAGTTCTTTTTGTTTAATTGGGCTCTGGGTATTTTTTTTTTACTTCCTTCTGTTCATGCCCTGTGAATCAGCTTTGGTGGAGTTAGCAGTTCCTGGTTGCAGTTTGTTGCCTTGTGTTTCCATGTTTCTATTTGCATGTTTGTTTTTTGTGCTAGGGTTTGAAGATGGATTGTGGTGGAAAGCTTTTTTGTTAGCAGAAGACCTGTAGTCACTGTGTTTCAGTGACGCGCTGGGGACCTGGCTAACTATAGGCCTTTACCACTGTCCCAGAATTCAGTCACCTCTGCTTATTTGGGTGGAGAGGCTGCAGCATATTTAGTTCAGTACTCAATTCTCCAAGAATGGACCATAGTATTGTTATTGACACAAAAGCAATCTAGATATTGGCACACCGAGGAAACGAAATAACAGGAACAAAATTTACTTTGGCTATGGTAACAATATCAGCACCAATAATAGTGTCAAAAACAAATTAGACATTGACATACCCTAAGAACCAATAATGTATGACCATTAACCATAGGAAAAAAAGACCTATAATTATAGTATGAACACTGAAAAATCAAATATTGACATACAGTAAATATCTATTAAATGTAACCACTATCTGTTTGCTAACAGTAGAACAGTATTCAGCAGTAATAACATAGAGTTAAATACCTAAAGATTCCTGAGGGTTAATGGTTCTACTAGAAAAGATAGAAGGGATGGGAAACTGAAGATGAGAAAACTAAAATTTGAAATATTAATTAATGGAAAAGGAGAGAAACAGGCAATCCTTTTGAGGAGTAAAGGGAAATTCATAATGTTAGGTAATAGTAACAGGAAAAAAAGAGCATTAAAAAGAAAAAAGAGCTGGACATGGTGGCACACACCTGTAATTCCAGCACTTGGGAGGCTGAGGCAGGAGGATCATTGCAGGTCTGAGGCCAATCTGGGCTACAAAGTGCATTTAAGGCCAGCCTGAACTTCATAGTGAAACCCTGTCTCAAAAAGGAAAAAAAAAAAGAGAAAGAAAATGAAAAACAAGAAGGAAAAAATATTAAAAGGAGAAAAGAAAAAAGACAGAGTAAGCTTCAACCCCCAAAATACCAATGAAGAAAAAAGTTCATCAATTTAAAAAATTCCTCTGTTTTTGAATGAGTGGTTTCTTTTTTATTTTTGACTTTTATTAGTACATGTTTGCAGTTCATAATTTTGTTCACTGTCAGGAATTGGTACATGTACATAACACTATTCTTTTTTGGTTTTGTTTTTCATGTTTTTCTTTCCTCTTCAAATGACTGGTTTCTTTGCAAGATTTGTAACCTTGGAATCCAAGTCGGGATTTTTTTCCTCCATGGGTTTTTCTTGGGGCCAACACTGTGGGCCAGGTCTCATTTCCTGGTGGATATGTCGACTCCCAGGCTTACCTTCTTTACCTAGGGCATTGGCCGTGTCTGTGTTCAGGCTGGTGGTTTCATTGGTGCCTCTGCTGCCCAGTGTCCAGGGGAAACAAAGCATGTATCAGTCTTGGTGTTTGTGGGTAGCAGCCAGGGGGCAGAATCTGTAGGTCAGAGCTGGCAAGGGGCAACCACTGTATGTGGAGTGGGCTCCTCCTCCATCTTTGGGGGGCGTTGAGGTCCCAAGTTTTTACTTTTATTAGCACATGTTCATAGTACATGATGATTACAATCATCATGGGGAGTTGGTGTGTATATATAACACATCTTAATTCTTTTTATGTCACCTCTTTGTAAGATAACTACCACTCTCTATCATCATGACTTAGTAAGACCAAGCCTTTACCAAAGGCCATGATAATTTATACCATGCCATTTAACAAGGTGTCTACCTAACCTTTCTGATGTCTGACACATGTTAATTTCCATGACCACAGGAGATAACACCCTTCTTGGGAACATCTTCTTTAGTTAAGAATTTGATGTCTTGCTTCTTGGACTAGGCTTCCATGTCACAGCCACTAGCTAAAGAAAACATTTCAATTTAGATTAAAAATGCATTTGGTGTCATAGTAGCCGTATTCTGAGATCTCAATTCACTCTTAACTACGGCGAGTAGTATTACTGGCCAGGGCAGATAAAGTGAATCTCCACCAGAGCAGCAGCTTTACGGGACAGTGCTGCATTAGAAGGGAAGTTCTGTGAAGGCAGCGGCCTCTGATGTTTTCCTCAGTGTCCACTGTGCTCCCAGCAGAGATACTCCATGAACCTGACATAGACAACCAATAGTCTACCAGGTAAAGGGAGAAGGCTAAAGATATCTGTTCTACAGCTTCAAAGTATTTTTAGCTAGGGTTACAGCACATGGGATGTGTGTCTGTGAAGAGGGACTCAGAGACTGTATTCTTCCAGTGATATAATACAGTCAAATTTAAAAATTTTAAACTAAAAACAAACAAAACTCCTGTGGGCAGAAAAGTATTCTATACTCCAATAATGACTTTTAGTCAAAGTGTGTTCATGGGTCGGCAACACTGCATCATTTAGGAGCTTGTTAAATTCGTAAGACAATATCCGTTCATGCTTGTTGTATGTGGAGTCGAGTGAATTTTCCAGTGTAGATTTCCGGATCTTATGTCATGTTATTACCACCACAGTCTCTCCCTCAGCTCTATCTTCTACCATCTAAAAGTAGATGCTGACAATAGTATCTTTCTTGCATCAAGACTGTCATCAGCCAAACTACTGCTACTGCTTAAAGCCCTACAGACTTGGGAAAACCAGCAAACGGAGCAGAGGTGCTCTGTAAGCTCAGGCTAAGGGGGAAACATGGTCTAAAAAACAAAGCAGCAGGCTTCTCACTTTCACTCTCTGGGCCAGCCCTCTCCATGCGTTAGGTTTGGATGGTTTGAGCCCAGGAATTCGAGATCAGCCTGGACAACACAATGAAACCTTGTGTTAAAATAAGGAGGATGGGCTGGGGATTTGGCTCAGTGGCTCAGGTGCTAGCCTGGTAAGCCTGAGGTTGTGAGTTTGATTCGCTGGTACCAATATATAAATAAATAAATAAGGACAATAATGTTTCTTTTAAAATTGTCTATAAAATAGTTTAATCTGTACAACTGAATAAATTATTTTATTTGTCGAAATGTAAGACACTATCAAATGCAATAGTTTTACATATTTATAAGGCAAAACTGTCAATTCTAATTTGTCACCATCTTAAATGATCATTGATTGTTACACATACCTGTTTGACAGATATGAGAAAATGCATATTTCAGAAGGGATCAAATGTATATTTGATCCCTATGTTCTTTAGAGAATTATGCAAATGATGATTAAATAGAGGTGATATCACATTTACATGTATTCATAAGCAGTAACACATTCTTAAAATTTTACAATTTTATCATATTTTGGTTTCACTTTTCATTTTCAGATAAAGACTGGACTCTTAGGAGTCATTTTGCACCAACTTAAAAACTGATGGGTTACTCAATTTTTAAATCATCTAATTTTTATTGCTAGAGTCATAAGTCACGAGATAAACAAGGCTTAAGTGTCTGGATGTAAAGGCAGGAGGCACATTCACATCTTAAAGTCGGGTCTCTTCACCTGTTTGATGTTCCCCTCATAAAAACACACAAATCAGTGTCATTAGCATATTTTGGCGAAGCCATACATATAACATAAAGCAATTAATGAAAGCATGTATCTAATTCCAAAGACACTAGTTCATAACATCACTCTTTCCTAAATCCCAAGCAGCATACAGATACCTGATACTTTGCACAGCAAAACTGTTCTGCTCATTTGTGATTTTGCTTTATCAGAGAGTAGCCATTTTTCAAATATACTTTGTTTGTATGCTCTCAAAAGTAGAGGCATAAAATATTCTCTAGTAAGTCTAATGCTGAATGCTAATTTCCTATAAGATCCTACTGTATCCTACCACTTAGTAGTTTATAAAAGTCTCTGGGAATTGGAGAACATGTAAAAATATTGGCTGTAAATGGACCTAGGAAATTGTCATTCTGAATACATGCTAAAAATCTGCAGAAGATTGGATCTGACTGGTTATATAGAAGACAAAGTTATTCAATGGATCCTGGAAGTAATCCATCTGCTATGTGTTAGTCTATTTTGTACTGGTTTCTCACAAGGGGCTCCCTGGAGGAATCATCAGTATTCACTGTAGAAAAATTAAAATATCATTGCATTTGAGAACTGGTTGTATAGGTTAACTATTGGCACCAATAAAATATTTCTGACATCTGTATAACAGAAGGTCTCATTGTATCACTCATTTCAACCACTTCAAAATCCACCTCATTCTGTTCTTCTGCATCCTCTTCACCATCTTCCTCATACTCAATTAGCGTAGGAGAGGAAAGCAAAGCTTTCTGGTCCTCATTCTTTCTCTTTTCCTTCTGCTGTGATCCAGAGGCAAGGTGGCTAACTTATACATCACAGGAAATAATGCAGCAGTGAATATTGCTGACCCCAAACACGTGTACAGAACTACCGGCAAACCTGGGTATTCTCCCTGAAGTATTCCAATTACTGCAGGAATAGCCATGTCTCCCAGACAAGCACCAACCACAAAAAAAGCTGCAGACTTTCCGCTTATGCTCGTGTACTGCTCAAGCCAAGAAATACCGCTGGGAAAGGTGGTGGCCATCGAGGCTCCATACACTGAACTTGCTATCCAGAGACAAAGTGGGTTCTTGTCAAAAAGCACCAGGAATAAAGATGACACCAGGCTGCCAATGTTGCTCACCACAATCATGGTTCCAGGCCGTAAACATGTGGCAAACAAGATTGCCAGGCCCCTGCAGGCTGCAAAGGCCCCCCAGAAGGCGGAGTTCAAGCCAGCAGCCTCGCTCTCCTCCATGCCAACGTGGGTGGTTGCAAATGAGAAAACATAAGAGCCATAGGTTACCTCAGCTCCAACGTAAAAAAAGAAGAAGAGGAAAAGGAGGCAGAGCAGGGCTCTGTGATGTTTAGCTCTTCGAGATTCCTGAGCAGACGCTGTTGATTTTTCATGCTTCCAGCTTTTCATGAAAAACAGAGCAAACAGGAAGACAGAAACTACAAAGGTGTAAGTGCCGATAGCAGCATAAGCCCACAGTAAGTTCAAGTCATCAGGCGCTGCAAACAGAAGGCCTGGGTCGGCTTCAGGAGATCGGTTGAGGGCTGCAGGGTGAAGGTGAGGCTCTGTGTGGTTTTCAGGTGATACTGTTGTCCCCAAGGCCAGTTTTGCCAGAATAGGAGCCAAAAAGGCACCCAAGGCAAAACTGAAGTGTAAGGCCTGCATATGTGGGGCTCCTTTGTCCCCCCATAGAGCCAAGATAAGGATGTTCCCACCTACCAATGAAAGATGGGGAAATAATTTAAATTAAATATAAAATCTTTGTTAAAAAGAAAAAATTTATTACTATCAGAGAATGAATGTCTTTTACATGCCATGAGCATTGCAACGTTCTTGGTTATCAAATGGTGTGCCTGAGTCAATTGTGCATTTAAGGAACTCTAACCCACTGCTACCAAAGAATTCTGCACATTAACGTTTTACATGGATGTATGGAATTGTGCAAGCAGGTAAAATGCTACCTTCTACAGCCAGACATGTTGGAAACTGGGGTAAATAAGGCTACGTTGCTGAACACAGGGACCTCTGATTGGGTGGGGAAAGAGCATATGCGTGGTGCTCTGAAGTCAAGATAACCACAGCTGAGGTAACTAAAGACTCTGGGAGCTGACACCTCTTATTCCAAAGCAGTAAAGCTGCCAGGCTTAGCAATCTTTTAGTGATAATTCTCTAATAGGAAAAATGTACTACTTGTCTTTGAACTGATTCCCAAGGTCCTGCTCAGTTCCCACACTTTCCTGGGTATCCCTTCACTTGTTTCAAAACCAAATAAATACAGGAGGCCCAGAGAAGTTCTTTGTCTCAACCTCCAGGAAATCTCAGATTCTATTAGAGAATATTGACCTTCCCAGACTCCTACAAACCAGACCTCTTGTCTCTTATTTAAGCTGTTTGCCATCAACTCAATCCTGTGTGTTTTTTGCAGCTTTCCAAAGAATGATGACACAATGAAAAGCTCTACTGTGGACAAACAGAGACTGCTGAGAAAGAAAAGGATACAAAAGGAAAACAGGGCACTAATGCACACCATGGGTTTCTCCTGGCTCAGTCACTGGAGTGCATTTTACACTGGGTGGTTGCTTCTATGCTTTCACTGCCAGCTAGTAATTTGAAACTTGTTTTATACCACTGCACTACCATTTTTCCAGTATTACAGTCATAAAATTCTATCCTGAAATGAAAGCTGCTCAGCTGAGCTGTAATTACCCACAGGATTCCCTGTGTCAATATCCTAAATCAACCGTCTCCCTTAGAGCCACCTCCCTCATGGTCACTTCATAGCTGGCTGCTCAAGACCTGGGGCTCTGATTGGTAAGAGGAGGGGCTGGCTGAAGGGTGGCTCTCACTGGGAGACGCATGAACCACTCAGTAAGTCCTGGTCATTTCAGAAATTTGCAAATTATTTCTCTAGTACTGAGTCCACACTCCCAGACATGGCGCTGGAGATCCACTAACCTGTGTCCAGAGCACCAGCTGCAGCACCAAACACAGACATCATGGTAATCAGTAATGCTGCTGTCTTGCAAAAAGGAATGAGGTAAAGGCCAACTGTGGTAGCCAACATTGACAACCCTGGGAAGAAATGGTTAAAGTCAGCTATAAAAAATACTATTATCAGCTGGGGGTGTGGCTCCGCAGTGGAACACTTGCCTGGCATGCTCAAGGCCTGGTCTGTCCTGAGGAGCATAAAACAACATCCCCACCCCATATTTATGCAGAGTCATGGGTAACGTCAACACCATAAAAACTTTCAGAATTACAAAATAAGATCCAACTAAACCTGAGTAATCATGAGATGACAGTTGGAGCTTCTACAGGTAGTTACACCAGCTGAATCTTATTTAAGCTTTATGGAGCATAAAATATAAATAATTCATACTATTATTACTATTGCCCTAGAAATAAACCATAAATTATACTACGAAGAAAGTTTTACAACAAGAAGAAACAGGCCAAAAATTATTTACTTAATTGTTTGCTGAGACAAAATACCCAAGACCCAGAGTTAAAGGAGGGAAGCTTTATTGTAGCTCACGGTTTGTAGAGCTTTCAGTTCATAGCTGGCTGGCTCCAAGGCAGGGGGCAGAGCAGAGGAGAAACAGTTAACGGTGGGCAGAAGGCAGCACAGTAGTGACGCAGTAGCAAACAGCAAATAGCGATCCTCTTTCTATTCCTGTATCCTGTCCATGCTACCCACCCTTAGGGCAGGTAGCACGCATGCCCTTGGTGGGGCACCTTAATCCTCGCATTGCACCATGAATTAATCCTGGCATCACAATCCTAGATCCAGCTACCTCCAAACAGCTCCACCTATGAGAGTATAAGGCTTGGGGGGACATCTAGAGACAAGCTACAACAACATTTAAGAACCACAAGGCAGACTGGTGTATGAGTTAATATAAAAATGTAAAGAAAGAAAAGGTACTTAGTATAATAACTTGTGGCAAAAGTATACTAAATAAGTTTCGGGAACAGGAAGGAAAATAGCAGAAATATATCCCCCCAGCCCATTTTGGAAATAATAAGTATTATTTATTACTCATCAGCAATAAGGTATTGTCACTGTTTCCAAAATTTATTTTAAAATAAAATCTATTTTTAAAAGGGTGTTAGAAATGCTTTCCTAGTGGTGTCCAGGGTGAGTAAGGAAGGGCATTCTAGCGGCATCACTGACAGGGTAACAAAATGGTAGCCATCCGTCCACTTACGGTCACTGGGCCCCTTCAGTACAGAAGCTGCAGACCCTGGACGGGGGGTCCAGGAGAGCATTCTGACAGCTCTGGCCTGAGATCTGCCTTCTGCAAGCTGTTGCTTTTCGTATGCACAGCCATATTGTAAATACACTTAAAGCCATAAAGAAGGAAAAAAAAAATCAGCATTTTCTTACCCAGAAGTAAAACATGATTCATACATTCAAAAAGAACACCACCAATCATAGAGCCGCACAAGACTCCAGAGGCCCGGCCGACAAAAATTAGAGAAAGACTGCTGATATTTCGGTTTACATTTGTTGCCAAATCTTGAAATGTAGGTCCCAGTATACCAACACTCAATCCCTAAAATTTAAAAAGAAAAAACCTTTTTACTTACAACCATTAAAATGATGTCTAAGTTGTTAACCTGTTTTGCTATTAAAAAAACAAATAAAATGGAAGGAGGATTTTGAAATATACTACATGAATAACAAATTTAGATGTTGAAACTTAAATTACTAGTACATCAAAATTTTTTCCTATGTTGCATATTAAAATAGCAATATTTCTGGGGCACATGGAATCCTTTCTTTTTTTTTTTTTGGAGTTTATAATATTATCTTTATAATGGTCACCGGGAGTTAACACAAGAAAATGCAAGAAATCTATCCACAACACCAAAGACATAGAATATTTAGTCAAGAGCCTAAATCCCACAGCAATGTCCCACACGAGTCCAGATAAAAACCCAGAGCTCATGACAAGGCCTCCCATGGGTCCAACTGGAGGTCCAGAGCCCACAAGGACTCACATAGCCAATATATGCAAGAGATAAATAATTTGAATATTTCTAAATCTATATTCTTCAAAACAAAAAGCCAGTTGGGACTACTGGCTATTAAGATTCCTTAGAGAAAGGAATTCTACATACATACATAAATAGAATGATAATAACAATAAAATTTTACTAGGAAATGTGTTAGAACTGAGGATCCTGATTCATTTTCAGAGGAAAGGTGTTAGATCTTTTAAGAAAAATGTGTCTAATAATCTATTTCAAGAATTGAGGCAGCCGCCCCAGGGTGAGAACCACCAGCATCTCCCGAGATCCACATCATGTTGGAATTTAGGGCGCTGAGAAACCGAGCAACCCGCTTGCTTCCCTGGTAAGCAGCCCTGAGCCTACGGCGGCGCATGCGCTGAGAATCAAACATCCCATTCCTGCCCCCCCCCCCCCAGCAAATGTGAGCCAGAGATCTGAGCATCTCTTGGGAGGCTGACCATATGCAATACAGCAAATAAGGGAGATTTCCTTCTACCATCTCTTTGAAGGTAAATATTGCTGTCCTTGTTTTACTTGCTCAGATTAATTATATTGCTCTACTCAACATTCTGTTGTGAGAAGTTCTATAAGTTCTGTATTTGGTTTCATTTTGCTGTACCTGATTGAAAGAACAACTATTGTGAATATAACGAGATATACTATGGTTCCTATTACTGTTATCCCGGTAACCTGCTATGACGTTCTGTGCCAATTTCACTGCACTGTCTCAATTGGCTTTGTTCCATCTTGTTCTATTTGCTACCTTCACAATAATAAATTTTTTTTAAAAAATGCAAATTAAAACAAAACAAAAATTCGAGGGGCTGGAAATTTAGCTCAACGGCATAAGCGCCCGCCTTGCAAGCACGAAGTCCTGAGTTCGATCCCCAGTACCCCACCCGCCCAAAAAAGAATTAGTAATTTGTAACTTCTAATCGCACTGTTTTGCTGTGACGAAAGCCCAAGCCACGGGAGTCCAGACTGAGGAACACAGTACGCACAAGCCCGAGCATCATCACAACAGCAGCCTGGATACTGGCTCTAACCAAGGCACTTTACACTTTCAAAGGATTTAGAAAACCTGGCACATAAGGAGGGCTCGCCGAGTGTCTGCAGCGATAATTTGGTCATCCTCTCCACCACCAACAGTCCAAAAGAGTCTGTACCTGGTTGGGGCTCAGTCTAGATGCTAAGTAACCAGAGACTATTCTCAAAAGAGTGACTCAACTCTGCAAAATCTAAAATTAGCAAGTTTGGCAAGAAGAGTTTGGTAAAAGGCACATGTGGCTGTGCAAATTTGCTGAAAACAAAACCAAAACACAAAAACAACACTAAAGGTTTCAAAGCCTGGATTTAAACAGGATTGTGGGCAGAGTAAAAGGTGTTCCTCGCTCTAGCAATTAACCAGTTGTGTCGTCAGGAAAAGTCTCTTCCTTCTCTGGGGCTATTTCCTTGTTTGCAAAACTAAAAACTGCTTGAATTTGGTGACCCGGCCAAGAAGAAGAAATCCCCAACAGCAGTTTTCGTGCAGCAGTCCGGCGCTTGAATTCGTGGGTGCAGAGGGAACCGTGCAAGTCCTGGGCAATCCCTCTCGTGCCTCCCTCCCGGCGCACCCGGGAGACATACAGGTTTGCTGCCTTTGGAAGACGCTAAAATTAGGGAAATCAGCTTCACACTTGATGATCATCCTCCACGGTACAAGTGTGCCCGGCTTCCAGAAATGAAACAGAGATCCAGACGGATTAATAAAACCCGGAGGTCGCTCAACGTGCAGGGGAGGGAGCGACCCCCCGGAGGGTCACGTCCCCCGCCGGCGCCGCCCGCCGCTTACCAGCCCCAGGAAGGCGGCGCACAGCACCGCGGTGGTGAACCAGCGCAGCGCGCTCTCGGCCCGGGCGCTCCGCCGGGGGCCGGACGGTGCCTGTGGCTGGGTCTCCGCCGGGGCCGCGTCCAGGAGGAGCCGCTGCCCAGCAGCCGGGGCCCCGGCCTCACGGAACTCCAGTTCCAGCTCCCGCGTGGCTGCTCCAAGGTACTCGCCTGTCATTTTTACAACCGCACTGGTGGCGCTGAACGTGATCCTGTCCATTGAGTCCGCACTGTCCTTAAAGGTGACATCTCACCAGGCACCGCCCCAATGAACAAGGAAGAGGGACTTTGGCAGGTGCAGGTGTAGACTACGGGCTGAGCCGAGAGCCAGAGACTCAGGGAACAGACGCCCCCAGGGTTAAAATGTCACCAGACCTCCAGGGCAAAATGCAGGCCAAGAATTGGGGAGTGCAATCTTGAGTCCTAGCAGTCCTAACAGCCCCAAGTTGCTGCCTTTAGAAACTCCAAGCCCTGGGCTTGCTCCACAGTGTTTGTTGGACCTCAGGAGTAAGCCATCCAGGGAAAATCTGCTAATCCTCATAGCCACACTAGCCCCATTTACAGGGAGGAGGAACCAGGCATAGAGAGCACCAACAGCTTTCTCAAGGGCAGTTAGGGGATCGGTAACTAACCTGGACAGTGGAACAATAGCTCCAGAAAGAAACCTGGGTCCAAGCTTGCAGTTTCCAACACCCAGGGAGTCTGACTTCCTCCACAGACTTCCAGAAGGCACGGATCTACCTGATCGCTGAGTTAAAGGAGGCCAGCCGAGGAAGGCAGGTCCTGCTTGTCACTGGCCTGCCTGCACTTGTTTGAATTTGCTCTTTACTTGGGTAGACCACAGCCTTAAAAGGGGATATAGCTGTTTTATCATGTATCTGAAATGTCCTCTCTCTGTCCCTGCCTCTGTCTCTGTCTCCTCCACCACAAAACTTTGTCTGCTCCTAGCAATCTGGTTACCAATTTCGATTATTTAGTCATTAATTCCTTTCACCTGAGAAATACCTTGTTCACCTGCCTACAACTCTCTTTTCCCACTACCTTTCTTCTTATCCTCCTCACTTCTTGCCTACACTATCACAAAAGCCTTCTAGTATTTCCAAAGTGTATGTCTTGAATACTTCATTAGGGGGCCTTAGAAGACCAAAGTAATGGACAGATGATAGGACCTTAAATATTAACTTTAGTCACCTAAAACTGAGCTTATCTCATTGCCAGTAAAGCTGCGTCCGCTTTGGCCCTGTTCTGGGCCACCACCTCCACGCCCCTGGCATCTCTGAGGAGCTTGGGAATCTGCCCCAATGCTTCCTTCTGTCTCCTCCGCTTAACACTGCGTCCTGCCAACTTTACTCCAGTACGTATTTCTGGTATCAGGCCTCCTGTCTGTGAAGCGGTTAGATTATAACAAACTTAAAGACCGAACTGAGTTTCATTAGAGAGTATAAGATTGGCCAACATCTCATTCTGTAAGATTAGGAGTTTGGATGAGCTGCACAGCAGTGGTTGGCTTTCTGTGTGGAAGGAGGTTGAGAAAAACACCCAAAGAAACAGGCAAATTAGTTCTTCTCGTGTGGCTTTTCCAATGCAGTGTAAAAGTCTGGCTTGCTCAGGCAGACAGGAGCTCCTACTCATTAGCCTGCTGTTGTTGATCCATCAGGCTGTATAATTGTGAGGTCAGAGATCATGTTTGATGTGCTCGGAACATATCCCAGCACCAGTGCAACTTATCTATGGGTACATAGATAAGTGACTGCATAAATTACAGGATTAAAAGTGTCCGTGGGGTCTGAGACGTCACTGTACATATTGCAAGTGTCAAGAAAGGAGTAGAAAACCTTAGTGAAAGAGCACAGGCTTTGGAGGCAAGTGATTTAATTGTGAATTTTTACTCTATTTCTTCTACTGACTGTAAGACTAGGGTGAAAAACTATATAACTGTGTGTCTTCCTGGATAAAGCAGTACTAAAACCATCTGCCTCCTTAGGCTGCGTGTGGGTTCATGGCATTGGTGAAAAGTATCCGGACTGGGTTACAGACCTTCCTCCTGCTCACTGCACCTCATTTCAGGCTCCGTTATGACTTCAGCTTGATATAAGAGCATGATGACTGGGCACATTGGGAAGGTAAAAAACACTGGCGAAGGCAACCTTACATTTATAAAGTTTACTTTCACTAAAAATATGGCAGTTGTAGTGAGAAACTACAAAAACACCATTCCAGGGCCCAAGCAGTCCTCGAGTGTATCCTTGTGAAGCGTGGTCTGTTCTCCCATCCTCCTTGGCCCATGCTGCCTCTAGCAGTGAGCAGTATACTCCAAACATGGCCACGAGTCCAGCCCATGCCCACCAAATCCATGAAGCTGAAGGATAAGTGTGTCCTGCTTTCTCACAGAAAGCACTGGAAAGACTTGGATGTTCCCTCCACACTATCATAGTTAGGAGATTGAAATCCTCTCTATCTCTGCCTAGAGTCACAGCTTTCTAACAGGAGCTAGGAGAGGCCAAGCTTTGCCCAGAGTCTCTGGCACGAGGCAAAGGTAAAAGAGGCTCCCTGCCCTGGGCAGAGTGCACAGGGCACTCCAGGTAGATACGGTGGCAGCCAAGGACACCTAGAGTTTCATTTATTATTAAGATAAAACAAGGAATGTGTCATCAGCTTCTCTAAGCTTTGACTTAATCACTTTTAAAAAGTATATTTTCACAGCCAGTTGTGGTTGTGCATGCCTGTAATCCCGGCTCCTCAGGAGGTCTGGACAGAAGGATTGCAACTTCAAGGCCAACCTAGGCAATTGAGCAAGACTCTGTCCTAAATTAAAAAAATTTTTTTAAAGAATGGTGCTGTATCTTAGTGGTAATTCCTTGCCTAGCAGACAAGAAACTCTGAGTTCAATCCCTAATTGATTCTCCAACTGAACAAAACAACCAGTCAAACAAAAACAAACAAACAAACAAAAAAATGCTTTTCCCCAAGACAAAATTGTAAACAGGGCTTCAGGAAAGCTGTACACATTAATCATGATTCCTGACTGACCCAAATTATCACTATTGTTGTTTTACAAATGTGAGAAAGAGGTCCATGGTCACTGAAGGCTTTCAGCTCTTGGGCCTTGGAGAGAACGGGAACAAGGAAAAGTGTTCATATCTACATGATGTACCGCTTAGAAAACGTCCTTTCCATTCAGATAGAGAAACAGATACGTAATTATTTCCATTTGGAACTTATTATTAAATAATACAGTAATATATCTGGCTAGAAACAGCTTCAGTGGGAGACCAGTAAGTGTAGAAATTAAATCATAAACGAGAGAAGCCAAAGGTTTTAGATGCCATTTCCAAAACAACTGTGAAAATACTCCGGTTTTAGGAACCCATTACAAAATAGGGGAACACTAAAAATGTAAAATCTGAACATATTCTTGATCAGTTTTTGAAAGTTAAATTCCAAACTCATTTTCAAGCATCAAAGAAATTAATGACACAAGAACCTTACCTTAACCATGATCAGTTTATATTTTATTCAAACAAGAACTTGTACAAAGCCATGTAAACAGCAAATACACTTATATTCAGTTGTAATAAATCTACAAGGGCACCTCTGTTTTGAAAATCAAAACTCTTTCATGAGAAACTATGTAGAAGGATAGCCTGCAGAAGCCCTAGGCCTGGGGTATTTGGCAGGATTTGGAACAACAGTATTGATTATCCGTTTTCTTCCACCAAGCATCAGTGGATGTAACAGAAAACAGGATACCTGTTCCTCTTGGCTTCTCTTTCAGAGATGGTGCAAAGAATACTAATCACTTATGAAGCAGCATGATTTAACCAAGTTGTTTAACAGCCTAAAAAATCTCTCTGGCCAGCAGAGGTTCCAGTTTTTGCATTGCTAAAGGCAATGATTCTCAAAGCGGGCTGAGAATTACACTAAAACCAGCTTAACTTTTAAAATGTCAATACTCATGGTTCCTTGCAGGCTAATTTAATTGATATTGAAAGTAAAACAACTGGAGCTAGGTAATTTAAAAACACTGTCAGGTAATTCTAAGAGCAACCAGGTTTAACGCGCACACACACACACACACACACACACACACACACACACAGGCAAAGGCTTATCACCTAAAAGAGACAATGTATCTTTTCCCTTGAGTTCATTTTTCTTCTGTACCTTATGGATTCTGCAGAATCAAAATGTCACTTTGCCCTGCTGCACTATCACTGTGTACTTCCCCTAGCACAGTGTAGAACAAAGCACTTTGCACCCTAAGATAAAACAAAAATTATAGAATCCTCTGATTGCAATCTAAAAAACATTGAACATTCCCATAAAACATGGCTCCCTAGCAGAAGCAATTTTGGCCATGGTTTTTGCTGTGCTATATGTGACATCTGTTGTGTCCTTTATGAATGTGATGATTGTGTGAGGCACCTGCTGTCTTTCCATTATATGCAGACTAATGCAAACTCAGAAATCTTAGAAGTCTTGTTTTTCCCCTTTGAATATTGGCAAGATGGGCCTGCTCTTTTTTCCTTTCAGATAAATTTTTACTTTCTGAAATGCTTCTGTCTCTGAGTCATTGGTCAAAAAGGTAAAGGCACTTCAGTCTGCTGCTGCAAGCCATCAGGGAAAGAGAGCTGAGAACTTGCTCAGTTACCCTAGATGTTGGCAGCTGTAACCCAACAGCCAGCTCAGCCATGAAGTGCACCCATTGACCATTAAGAGGAAATCCCAACACGTACTTTGTTGCAGGATTTATTCTTTTTATTTTAAAATGAAAAAAGCATAAAAATGATACACAATTCTAAAACAAAATAATAGGTTAATAATGGTTAATATATTGGGTATTGTTGTCTTCAAAGTAGTTACTCAGATTACAAGATAGAGGCATTAAAAATGATCAAACCATGAAAGCACAAACCATTCTTTTTGTCTAGCTAACACAGATTACTAGTATAATTGTCTGATATATATCTTTTCCCTTCTTACTTTTCTCCAGCTGCAGGTTTCTTAGGCAGGCTTTAGCCATATTAACCGTATCTGCACCAGGTTAATTATATTTACCAAATTACTGTATAAGTAAAACATCAGAGACATCTGGAAATATGCATACACAAACACACATCAAGGGACCAGGAGAACTCAGATACTGTGCTTTACTAGGACTGCATGGAAATGATTGCAAAACGCTTTCTTGGCTCTTCAGCAATAGAGTGGTGGCTATCAAACCTTACCTGAAAGAGTAAAACATGAGTTTTACTCGGTGAAAGGAAACAGCAGCTGTCCTGTTTTATTCCCAGGGCACTGATTGGTGAACATGGTAAATGTTCAGGGGACATATGTTAAACGACTGAAATACATGCTCTGGGAAATTTTCTAATCCAGAGTTGAGCATGTAAGAGCACCTCTGCAGATAGGAAATTCACTTACAGCTGTTTCAAGTACAAATAACACCCTAATAGGACAGCAATTTCTTTTCTTAAAAAAAGCCAAGCAGTTCTCTAACAAGTCTAATAGACTCTGTAAAACATTTATCATTTTCTGGGAGTTGGTGTTTTCTATTCCAGTTGCAAAGAGCAACCTATGCTGTCAGTCCCAGTGTCTGCCAGTCCTATTTAGCACCCTCAAGATTCATGGAGCCTAGTACTAGTCTTGTATAGACATGGCAGTGGAAGTTCTCTTTGGATTTTAAATCCCCAATCCTCCTGATCAGTTGGGGTTGGAGGATAAGGTGGCCAAACCTGGAAGGGAGCAACAGCATCAAACCAAGTCAAGCCCAGCCATGTGCTGATGCGCTAGCACCAGCAGGGCAATGGAATCTACCTAGATCACACAGATTCCTTCTGGAATTCCTTCTAGGGGAGTTAGGAGGGCAGAACAGTCACACAGAGAGGCAGAGAGGCCAGGAACGTGAGAGATCACCTTCAGCTAAAGGTTCCCTGAGTATATACCATCTACTTCCAAGGCAGAGGATTGAGATCAGTCATTTCAAGGCATGAACTCCAACTTCATAAGCAAAGGAACACAAGATAGTAAACCATTCATTTAGTATAAAGTTGGGATCAAATCCCCCTAAACATAATAATATTTGGCACAGGTTTTCAAAGAAAAGAATGTCATTAATACTCAGAGTACATTGGCTAACACAGGTAAATCTTAAACACTTGCTAAAATACAGATCAGAATCTAGAAGTCGGGATAAGGAAGTCTGAGCTAGATGCTTGGCATAAGCTTTCTTTGGGTTCATTTCCTCATTGTGCGGGTGATATTGAGCAGACTGTAATAAGCCAAATGCCTACCTACAGTCTGAAACAGCATTTTAAAAAGTATGTGTTTCTCTATCCTTTTCCTATAGCTGTTGTGTTATAGATAAATTATATTAAGACTAATCCAAAATAATAAAGACAAATAATAAAAATACATTAAAGATTTTAAATAGAATTATCTATGACCTGATTATGTATATAAATTCCAAAAAATTAAAAATTGTATAGAAAAGTTATTTCTATACTTACATTTATACAACATTTTGCATGATAGCTGCAAGTGGAAGCAAACTGCAGGATCCTCAAAGCATACTGAAAATCTGCTAAATCCTCATCTCTGAATGACCTCCTAGAAGTGGCAATTATTCAGTGAAATCAGGAAATAGTCCAGCTTCTCTGTGTGTTAGCCCATTGTGTCCTGGTTTCTAACAAGGTGATTCACAGGAAAACTGCCAGTAATAATTAGAGAAGACTCACATTTCACCTAATCTGAGATGAACTGTTGGATACCTCAGCCATAGGTGCCATCAGAATATTTCTAGATGCCTACTATGTTGAAGAAGCCTCAGTGTACCATTTACTTCAACCACTTCAAATCCAGTGCATTGCATTCTTCTGCACCTTCCCTTCATTCTCTTCCTCATAGCCCAGAATTAGAGGGCAAAGCTTTCTGGTCCTTGCTCCTTCTGTTTTCTTTCTCTTGGCGATCCAGAGGCAAGGTGGCTAACTTATACATCACAGGGAATAATGCAGCAGTGAATGTTGCTGACCCCAAACACGTGTACAGGACTACCGGCAAACCTGGGTATTCTCCCTGAAGAATTCCAATTACTGCAGGAATAGCCATTTCTCCCAGAGAACCACCAATGACAAAAAAAGCCGCAGACTTCCCACTTATGCTGGTGTACTGCTCAAGCCAAGAAATACCGCTGGGAAAGGTGGTGGCCATCGAGGCCCCATACACTGAGCTCGCTATCCACAGACAAAGTGGGTTCTTGTCAAAAAGCACCAGAAATAAAGATGACACCAGGCTGCCAATGTTGCTCACCACAATCATGGTTCCAGGCCGTAAACATGTGGCAAACAAGATTGCCAGGCCCCTGCAGGCTGCAAAGGCCCCCCAGAAGGCGGAGTTCAAGCCAGCAGCCTCGCTCTCCTCCATGCCAATGTGGGTGGTTGCAAATGAGAAAACATAAGAGCCGTAGGTTACCTCAGCTCCAACGTAAAAAAAGAAGAAGAGGAAAAGGAGGCAGAGCAGGGCCCTGTGATGTTTAGCTCTTCGAGATCCCTGAGCAGACGCTGTTGATTTTTCATGCTTCGAGCTTTTCATGAAAAACAGAGCAAACAGGAAGACAGAAACTACAAAGGTGTAAGTGCCGATAGCAGCATAAGCCCACAGTAAGTTCAAGTCATCAGGCGCTGCAAACAGAAGGCCTGGGTCGGCTTCAGGAGATCGGTTGAGGGCTGCAGGGTGAAGGTGAGGCTCTGTGTGGTTTTCAGGTGATGCTGTTGTCCCCAAGGCCAGTTTTGCCAGAATAGGAGTCAAAAAGGCACCCAAGGCAAAACTGAAGTGTAAGGCCTGCATATGTGGGGCTCCTTCGTCCCCCCATAGAGTCAAGATAAGGACATTCCCACCTACCAAGGAAAGATGGGGAAATGATTTGAGTTATACACAGTAGCTTAGTAAATAAATAAAAACAAATAAATAAAATCATTACTGTTAGAGGGAGGATGAGTCCATCACATGGCAGCAGCTTTGTGACATTCTCAGTCATCAGACACTGCACCTAATTCAAATCTGTGTTTAAGGAGCTCTAATCCCTGGCACCAGAGAACTAATACTATAGTGTCTCCTGTACAGTACATTTGAATTGTTCAAAGGGCAAACCACTGCTTCTGAGAGTCACACACATCAGCCAAGGCTTTGTGTAAAACAGTACTAAAAGAAGAGTAGGGAGTAGTATTTACAGACCTACTTATTTGTAAATCTTTCAAATATATTTTGAGGCAAGCTTTTATCTCCATATAGTGGCCAAATTTCCAAAACTTTCTGTATTTGGAATTGGTAATCAGTTCAAGCACATTTTATAAATATAATTATACACATGGGTAGATACATAGATGCATAGATCAGATAGACACATACAAAACACATATTCAGAAACCTTAATACTTCAGGACTCTGTTGTGCCCATTTAAAGGATGTAAGAATACCTTTCAGCATTTGCATTCACATTGTCAAAAAGCTTTTAGAATGTTTAGATGCTTGACTCTTTCAAAAATCAGATCTTTTCAGATAAACATGTATTTCTATCCTGTGAATTTACCACCAAAGTGAATGAAAATATAAAACATTTCTAAGGTCTGTCAGCTTACTTTAGAGCATGGAAGGGCATCTAGGAGGGTGGAATTGGTAGGAAAGCAAGACCACATATGTAACGAAGCAGGTGTTCAAATGGAAGCTCTTCTGCAACAGGGCAGGAACTTTTGACTGATAAAAGAACAGAAAATGAAAGAAAAGCACACACTCCAAGTTTCTCTTGCCTCAATAACTAGGATATATTTTTAATTGGATGACTGTCTCTGCTTTTGGAGGCATAAAGTAGTACCTGCTTGGTCTTCTGTGGTGAGAGAGAATAGATAGCGAAAGAGAAAAAGCCTTTATTGAGGGAACAGGAGGGCTGTGGAAGAGAGGCAGGCAGCCTCTTGAAGCTTGAGGGAAATAACCTGGGGCTTTATTTGGAATTTGACAGGGGGAGGAGTTAAAGGGGCAGGCAGAATGTCGTATTATCATTTGATTGAAGCAGCGTTTGCGCGTGCAAGAAAAGCAAGAGGTGTGACATTTAGGTTCACCAAAAGGCAGGGAGGTGCTTTCTAGGAGAAATCTGTCATTTTTATTTATATCCTAGTAAAGTATCAATTCCTCCTACATTACAATGATAAAATGAAAGTCTATTCACTGTACTGTAATTATCTCCTTCAGGGGGTCCTTCCTTGTTTGTATGTTGTGTTTGAATAATTTCCCATGACACAATTTTTAACTACACTTTGTAGTTGTCTGTTCAAATTTAGTGCCTGACTTACAAAGAAGGGCACTGTTAGGCGAGTTTTCTGATTGGGTGATGCCATTACCAACTTGGTAAGTGCAATGTCCTTACAAGATCACTGCAAGTGACAATTTGATACATCATGCTCTACTTTTCATAACAGTAATGTCCCAATCCCAGAGTGACACTAGAGACATTCACTAACCTGTATCCATAATGCCATACGAAATACCAAAGACGGACATCATGGCAATCAATAATACTGCTTTCTTGCAAAAAGGAATAAGATAAAGGCCAACTGCAGTAGCCAATACTGACAGCCCTGGGAAGAAAGGTTATAAACTCAACTGTAAAATCAGTATTCATGCAGTCATGCAACAAGTTAATATCATAAAACCTTCCAGGAATACAAAATAAATCCACGTTATCTTGAGATGATGGGACTTGAAGATTCCACAAGTTGTTATTTCATCTGAATCTTCTGAGTTTTATGGACTATGAATATGAATTACTATGACATGAACATAATTTTAGCATTAATAATAAACTACATTATATCACAAAGCAGAGTTTTACAGCAAAGGAAAGAGGGCAAAAATTATTTACTTACACATTTCAAGTGTACTGCCTCTGAAGGGACTTTTAGATATGACTTATCAATGTAAAAAGGCAAAAAGAATATAATTGGTATGGTATTCTGTAGTAAAACTTTAAATAAATTTAGTTTGGGAAATTTTGAGGGATATATTGATATATATTGTTGGGCTGGGGATGTAGCTCAGTTGCAGAGTGCTTGAGTAATATGTATGAAAATTTGGGTTCAATCTCTAAGGCAGTAAAAAAATTATATATTTTCAACTCATTTTTGAAAAAAAAAGACATTATTCATCAGCAATCAATTTTTTTCATTGCTTTGAACAGACTTTATCATGTTAATCCATAAACCTAAATTTTCTTTAAACATATCAATTTATTCAATAAGTACATGTTAAAAGTTTTGCCATCTATGTCCAGGGGCTCACCAACATAGCTGACAGCCAGGTAAGGTGGCGTACGCCTATAATCCCAACATTTGGGTGGTTTAGGCAGGAGGATATTAGAAAGTTCAAGACCAGCATGAGCTATCAAGTGAGCTCAAGGCCAACCTGAGCTGCATAGTGAGATGCTGTCTCAAAAAGACAAAAACACAAAAAGTAGCTGCCATCAGTCCCTCACCATCCTGGACCCTTCACATTTAATCCAGAGGCCTCAGAACCCAAACAGGTTCCAGGTGCTACTTCTGATCTCTCTGGCCCCAGCAGAGCTGCCTTTCACTCTCATAAGCAGACCTTTTGGACACCCAGTGCATGATCCTGAAATGGAGTCTAGAAGGCCCAGCACAGATGCCCTCTCACTGCCAACCAAGGTGATCGAAAGCAGGGAACCCGCTTCACAGAGGACGCCCCACGCTCCCCACTTCAACAGCCAACTGTTCTCAAGCTGCTATTTTTCCTAGGGACAACCACGGTGAAAACACACTGAAAGTTAACAGAGTGAAACTGCTGTTTACTTACCTAAAAGTAAAAAGTGATTCATATGGTCAAAAAGTATTCCACCAATCACAGAGCCACCCAAATATCCCAAAGCGCGACCCACAAATATTTCAGAAAGGCTGCTCATATTTTGGTTCACATTTCTTGCCAAATCTTGAAACGTGGGTCCTAGTATAGCAATAGTCATTCCCTGAAATTTAAAAAGAGATTTTATTTACAAACAAAGTAAAATGTATCGAATTTATGGCCACCACAAAATAGTGGGGAGTGGGTTACAGTTCAAAGCAGAGAATTACCGTAAGACTCCTATTCAGGAAAAAAATTTATAAAGACAATACAAGTATTATTGGAGCCAGAGGCCTTTTCTGCTTATCTTTCAAAGCTCTCAATTTTTATTTATTTATTTTTTTAAATTAAGGCTTTAATTTCATACTTAACCACACTGAAGTTGTTACACCTTGCAAATCATTGTAGAAAACAAGTATTTTTAAACAATTAAAAGTATTTCATATGAAAAAACTCTCAATTTTTAAAAAAATTATGTAATTCTTGTGGCTTTTTGTTGCATGTTGTTTCCTATTTGAATACCATACAATACTATTCCATATTAAAAGGTAATGAGGACCTTGGGATGTAATTCAATGGCAGAATAATTGCCTAGCATGCTTAAAACTCTAGGGACATCCCCAATACTGAACAAAATTTAAATAAATCTATTCTAGAATAGTAAATATAAATTATGTATGTAAACACACACATATATGCATATACTTTTATGCCTACTAAATACTTTATTACTAAGATACATAACTAACCTTCTACCAACCTTGGGGAACCTCAAATTTGTGATCCTCCTGCTTCAGCCTCTGGAGAAGCTAGGATTACAGGAGTACACCACCACACCTGAGCAAGTTTCTGTATTTTGATATATACCACTTGCCATACTATGTAAATTTAGAAGTCAGATATTTAATACTCAAAATATTCTCATTTTTGCTTCTGTTAAAACAATAATATTTTTGGTGTATATGGAGTCCTTCCTCAGAGCTACAAATATACAATATACAGGAAATAAACAACTTAAGCATTTTTAAGTCTATATTTTTCTTCAAAGAAATCCTCAGCCATCAGGAGTAGTTTTAAGGCTTTCTTAGAAAGTTCTCCATGGATATGTACAAAATGACTTTTAAAAGAAAGCATTACTCAAGACAATATATTGTGATAAATTGAATTTGGTCTAGACTATCTCAATATGTACCAAACAATATCCTAACTTCTTATGTGAAAATGCAACTTAACTGTAGTATCTTCTTATAACAAATGACTGAGTTCTGGTCAAACACATCAGCCAATCTTTCAATCAATTGCAAGCTACACAATGCAGACACATGTCAAAGGAAGGTAGACAATAATCTGCAACTAATCAGGCTACTTTATATAGATTCCTTTTTCTATATTCTGGCTCACATGCTGGGTTGATTCTCTAAACTTCACTAGTACATGTTTTACAACTTATTCAGAGAAACTAGTCTCTATCACTGGAGATTGCTACAGAGATGTCCCCAGTAAAACACATTTTAAGTAACCATAGCTACTCTTAGTGTATCACCCTTTCTGCATGAGAAAACATATATAAAATTAGAAAATAGGCACTGCTATAGTTTGTCTCTAGATATCCCCCCAAAGCCTCATGCAACCGTACATGGGAATTTCCAGAGTGCATGATGTGGGGTTTAAGGGTGTGTGATGGTAAGTCACTCCGCTGACTGGTTTGGCATAGTTAAAGGCATGAGTCCTACACTTGCCCAGGATGGGTTACCCACTTACAATATAAGAGAGAGTCTTGTCTGCTTGCTACCTTGTTGCTTTTGCTATTATGGGTAGTTCACAGATCTCTTCTGTGATCTCTTCTCTGCCAATCCACCTTGCCGTGGAGGCAGGTGATTACAGACTGAAACCCCGACAAACTGAACCAAATAAACCTTTCCTTCTTTAACCTTGGATATTAAGTATTTTGTCTTAGCAATGGGAGAAAAGTAGCTAAGACAGCTATGGAAAGTGGCAAATAAATATATATTTGTAAGTGTTCGAACGAACTGGAAGCTACTACAAGTGATATTTTTCTGTTTATGACCCTGCCAAATTAACTTGTAAAACAACTCTACTAACTTAGAGTACTGGTCAATCCTTTATAGGAAATTGTGAAGAATTACCTCAAATATAAGAAAATTGGCATAGGAATCAATGAGTTTGTGTTTTGACAAGATAATTTCCTACACTTAACTTTGTCTTTATTAGGTTTGTGATTACTAAGAAAATTGAGTCTTATTAAAAGAGCTAAGGTTATTCAAGAATTGTACAATTTTTGTTATTTGCCTTTGAACTGTTAATATCACTTTGGATAAATAGATGACACACACACACACACACACACACACACACATATATATATATATATATATATGTACTAACTTGTGCTCTTGTTTTAATGAAGTGTTTTGAATCCTTGATGCTTTGGGGAGCCCTTCAAAATCAAGTTCTAAATCTTTTTACGATCTTGAATTAATTTTGAGATTTCTTGGACAGGTCTTTGAGAAGGAAATCTCTCTTTACAAAAAAAAAAGAAATATTAAATAAATGGGGTTTATTTGATGGGTTAAATCAGAAGCTTTTTCAAATAATATGCAATGTCAAAATTTCTTTCAGTTATATTTGTATGAATGTGGTATTAGTATGTGTTCAAAATTGTATATAATCCAAAGAAATCTAATATTCCTCATGTAACACCATCAGTCATAATGCTAGTCATAATGCTAGGTTATCAACCTAAAATGCTTGTATCAAAGACTGGGCATGGTGGCACACACCTATAATCCCAGCACTCAGAAGGCTGAGGTAGGATTGCGGAAAGGGACACAGTCTTTTCTCTGTGGCAAAATGGCAAGATACTGAGTCTTAGATCTACACCTCACATATCAAAGGGGCCCTGCCAGTTTCCTGAAACCGTACATTTGTTGGGACCTTAAGGTAAAGCTGACCAGAGATGATTCTCTCCAGAAGTAGAAGACCTCATAGATGTGGAAAGCTTTCTTAAGGTCATAGATCAAGACTTCTCTGCCATCGTGAAGTCTTACTTCTTCTCCTTTTCTAACTACTCTGTTACTTGCTACCCTAATCCTTTCCCTTTCCTTATGGGAAAATCTATGGGAGCATAAAGTATGAATGGCAATAGCAAAAGGCTAATTTTGTAGCAAGACGTGTAATTTGTGGGCTAATGCCCTCAAATCTGGAAAAAATTTCTCTACCGTCAAGGCCACTCCCTATTCCCACGGAGTTCCTTTGAAACCCCAAAGGAAGGGTGGAAAGTTTTCCTTGATATCCTAAAAATGGCTACTCCTTGCTTTTTCACACTTGTGGGAAGTCTGGAAGTAGTACCTGCATTTTTCCTATATGTAACGGGATCACAACCAAACACAGAAAATCTATGAGTGACGTCCAAAAGAGCACAATGCATGTGCAAAGAGCTGGGGATTACTTACATGGGTAATCCCCCCCGCAAAAGAGAAAGAAAATGTTGATTATAGCATTGTTTTTCTAGACACTGACATGGCACCATTAAGGAAAATTCTCAAGAAAAAGGAACACAGGTGTTCTTGGAGCAGCTCACAGTTTCTAGGCATTCTGAATGATGGCTAGCAGGCTTGAGCACACCAAGGTTTCATGTTCTCTTTTATGGTTAGTGGATCACCTGGTTCCTGACTTGTGTTACCAGCCTACCTACAAAAGATTAAGCTCTTTTACAGACAACTATGGTCCTTCTTTACCATCATTCCCCAAACAAAGACTAGGACCAAGCAGCCTGAAATACTATTGAACTCTCCTTAGAGATTGCCTAAGTTTTGAATGGTTTGATTTTGATCAGTTTGGTTCACAGAGGCACCTGTTAAGGAGTATAATTTAGTTTCTTGGTATCACTGATGGCAAACTATAAGTACTGTAATATCGCCTGACAGACACTCTAAACTTTCCCTTGTGTAGTGTGCCTTAAGTCATAAATGTTTCTATGTAAGCATCCTTTATCATCAAGTGGCCAGCAAAAAAAATGAAGCATCAATAATCATCCATTGCTATGTCAACTATGAATTCCACAAACTGACCAAATTAGTCAGTTACGTTCATGACAGGAAGTATTGTCAGTGGCCAAGATTTCAGTCAGTATCTCAAAATTACAGGCTGACTGACAGCAAAGAGCCGTTCCATTAAATAAGGCCTAAAGCTGCCTGTGTATCTGGGAAACGACCTCAGTGTCAACAAACTGTAACTTGAGAGTACATTCATGGAGCAAGTAACAGGGCTGTCAAAGGTTCAGCCTGTCACCTGCAGCAAACTGCTCAGAAGTATGTGAAGAAGGCAAATATACTGCAACCAATAAAGCTATCTCTGTATGTTGCTTTCTTGTTGCCTATAGATATTACCTGCTATTCCTGGGTGGAGCATCCCAAATTTTTTACCAATTCAGGTGAACCTCAGGGCATTTCTTTGTCCAAAGAAACTGGTAAAATTAACTTGTCTAATTTTTATTAAGTATTAGTAAGAGCTAAGCATTACGGTTGGTTCGGGAGGAGATTCCTTGGACCCATAAAAAAGTTTCTAAATCATCTACATTTCAAGAATAATTGATTCTAATTGAATGGTCCTTTTCTAAAAGCTGAGTGCATCCCTTGTCCAAGCAGGGACAGTCAGGACTAAGGACCAGAATGAGCACAGATGCCCTACAAATACTAATACACAGAGAAAATCAAAACTCTTCATGTTCAAATCAAACACCTTCACGCACTCAGAGAACTTAAAAGACATGGCGCATGCTCTGAGGGCTCCACTAAACAGCCACTGTGGTTTCTTTGTCATCCCTACACCCCAATCAGAACACTCTGAGAAACGATTGGCTGAGGCTGAGCTGCTCAGTGACCAGAAGTGACTCTTCTCAGTCGACTCACCCAACTCTCAGGACCACAGTTACTCATCAATAAGAGAAAAATTTTCCACAAATATGGAATTGAAGGGCAGCCCAAGGGTTTGGAAGAAAACACTTCTAGCACTGCACTTTGCCCCAAAAATAACATAACATTTAATAATGTGCAGTCTTGATTAAAAGTGGATTGTAGGGAGAGTAGAGATGTTCCTGGCTCTTAGCACTTATGTAGCTGTGTGATCTGGAAAAGTCACTTGTCCCCTGGGGCCAGTTTTCTAACTTCAAAATTAAGTAGTTGGCTGAATACAGCCAGGCCCTTAGGAGGAGAAAAATCACTGTTCTGTGATAATTTGGCATGCCGTAGAGCAGCAGCTAGAGGTCTCCCAACCCTGTTGGCTCTCCCCATTAAATCAAGGACATGAAGGAAGGTTAGCTGGATTGGAAAACGTGCTAGGAAAGTCAGTTTCCCACTTGACAGTAGCCCTCCGTGATTACTGCCGTGCCCGCGAGTCAGATGAGGAAACCGAGGCCCAGGCAGATTAGCTAGTGACCCAAGGTGACGGTGTGCAGGGGACCAAGAGGAGACTCCAACTGGGAAGACCGCGTTCTCTGCAGGGAACCCCTCGGGCCCGGAGGGTTGCATCCCCAGCTCTCACCAGCCCCAGGAAGGTGGCATACAGGACCGCGGTGGTGAACCAGCGCAGAGCGCTCCCGGTTCGGGGCGCCACCACCGCCTGCGGCGCAGGCTCCGGGCCCGAAGCCTGGAGGAGCCGCTGTGCAGCAGCCGGGGTCCCGGCACCGCCGAACTCCGTTTGCAGCTCCAGCTTGGCGACGACGGGGAGGTGGAGGTGGCCCTGCAGCCGCCGAGCTTTTCTTCACCGGACCCGGTGGAGCACCAAGCCCTGGTCCTTCCCGGCCCGCAGGTCCCTCCTGGCGCTGCCTCCCCCAGGCAGCTGCCAGATTCGGGGCATTATGAAACCGGACTTTGGAACATGTAGGTGTGGCCGGCAGTGGATATTCTTGCTCCATATTATCAAATCTCGACCCCAGTCACTTTGCAGAAATGGGGACTCTCGCCCTTAACACGGCGTCTTCCGCAGGAAGTTAAAGTGGTTGCCTGGGAGACGGAGTTCGGTGCAAGCGCTGCACAGAGTCCTGGAGCTCAGAGGACTGGAGTCCGGAATCCGCGGGTTCAGACCTGAGACTCGGGCCGCAGGTTCCGGGATTCTCCTTGCCAGCCTAGAGCTGAGGACTCTCTAGAGGGCTCCCAGGGACTAACTGACTGAATCAGCAGGAGGCCGGCTAAGGCATTTGCTGTGAAGCTCCGAGGCCAGCAGTGCCGAGTAGCCGGCAGTCCTTAGTTAGCCTTTGTTGAGCAGAGCTGCTGTGTCATGGCTCCCAGCTGCTGAGATGTCGGGAAATGGTACTGCTCGGTAGGAAACAAACCGGCATTAGCCGAGGAGAGTCTGAGAATCATGGAAAGCACACTGCCCACTGCTCCCCTGGAACAAGCATTCCAAGGAGTTCCAAAGGCCAGGCTGTACTACAAGTTTCAGGGAGGACGGTTGTAGCAGGAAATTAACCCCCACAGTCCGTTTTCAAGACCAGCACATCTTAAAGGTGGTTCTGAAATCCACCACGTGTAAATGCAAAACCACTTGATTTTCTTTTTTAAAAATTAATTTTTATTAGTACGTGTTTGCAGTACATAGTGCTTACATTCCAACGTGGGAAGTTGGTACATGTACATAGTAACATCGTATTTCTTTTTACTTCCCTTTCTCCAAGAGATGGTGCTTTGAAGGGGAATGGAGAGCAGATTTTCTGAATTTAGAAGGATAATAACAACATAGTACAGTCTTTGCAGTTGGCGGTTTTAGATGAAAATGCTACATGTCAAAACAGATAGCTGAACATAAATGAATTGCTTGTGAGAAGACAGAAGAATGCGATGTCAAAGGCCTGAGTTGGGCTCAGCATCTGTGGCACCTGCTTCTCATTTCTCATGACAGCGTCAGCTGCGACACTGAAGGAACATCAAGTGACGTGGTTGTGGCAGATGAAGCTTCACTGAGTTCACAGATAATCAAACTATAGAAATACACTTTTTAGAATGTCTAAAAGGGAAAATGTCACACATTCAGTTACTGTAACACTTTGGCTGCTTAATAGCTGGCTTTGACCCATAGAGCTCCTTCAGTGTTCTTAAATAATGTTTTAAACCAGGTGTGATAGCACAAGGCTATAATCCCAGCACTTAGGAGGCTGAGCCAGGACAATCTGTGTGAATTGGAGGCCAAACTGGGCTACACAGCAAGTTCAAAGCCAATCTGAACTATGAAGAGAAAAAAAAAATGTTTTAACATCTGAAAGTAGGATTTACAAGCTTTATAAAAACAGGTAAGATGCAGCTAAACTTTATGAGGAAATAAAAGGTCAGGAATTGCAAAACTGGGCCTCAGCTAGCTACCTAGGTTTTCTAGGGAGTATGAAGGTGTTGCCTAAAATCCCTGCCAGATCTGAAGTTTGTCATTCATTTTCCTTTCACCAAATATTTCTTGAACCTCACGGATAAACTTTCACATGTAACATCTCAGTTAATCCTCCTGGCAATATTCTGAATTCCCCTTTACCCTCTGTAAGATAGGAGAGTTAAGGCAGAGAATAAGGAATAACTTGCTCAAGGGTTGTCATCAAATCAGTGCCTGTAGATGAGCAAAGAAACCAATAAAAGTCCAAAACATTTTCAGCCACATCCCAGAAAGAAGAGGACTGAGGGACTGACTGTGTTGCTGAAAAAAGTTATGCCAGTCTAGAAAGAAACACCCAGTGTTTATCCTGTTCCGGCTTGGTTTTCATTTGTTCCTTATCCAAACTGTAGTCTCAAAATGTGATGCAAATATTTATCATATATTGGAAATAGTCTTCTCCACGTTCTTTCTCTCCCATTTATTCCTCCAGACTATAAAGCTAAGTAATGGCAAATTTAACTTAAAAGACCCACTTTGAGCTGGGTAACACATGTCTGTATCCCAGAATTCTGGGAGGCTAAGACAAGAAGATTGCAAGGTCAAGCCCAGCATGGCCAACTTTGCAATTTAGTGAGACCCTGTTGCCCTGAAATAAAAAATAAGAAAAGCAGCCCTGGGGATATAGCTCAGTGTGAAGCCCCTGTATTCAATTTCCAGTCACACACACACACACACACACACACACACACACACACACACACACACAGAGAGAGAGAGAGAGAGAGAGAGAGAGAGAGAAGGGAGAGAGAGAGATCTAGTTGGCTTTTCTTAGACGTCTAATATTTGGAAAAATCACATTCAGTAAAATGGATTGAGTGTTGGATTAGCTGAGTACAAGCAGTTACTTTTTTGGCAGAAAAAGACTGAAAAAAAAAGAAAAAAGAAAACTCCAACAACCAGTAAACAGAACAAATGCAGCTTGATCCTTTACAAGTCATTTTCTCAGAGGATTAAAAGAGAAACTTTATCATCTTTCACAGGTAATGCAAGCCTCTGATTTGCTGATGTTTTTGGATTGGTTGTTTATATTAGGCTCTGAAACCTTGAGTCAGAAATCGTATCTACTTTGCTCCCCAACATATCCCAACATAAGCAGAATGCTTAGTATGTTGAAGTCACTCAAATTACTGATAACATAAATGACAGCATAGATTCAAGGATTAAAAATGTCTACCAGGTCCAGCAACCAGAGATACAGCAGTTCTACAGACAGATGGGGACCAAAGCCAGATTACTATAGATCAGTGAAGGAAAAGGTTGAATTGTACCTTATTCAAGAGGCCAGTTAACACATAACAACTATCAATACAGAGGTAGAGGCTGGGCTTTGGAGTCATGCAAACCTAAATACAAATTCTAGCTCATTTCCTTATTAGCTATAAGACTTTGGAAGGGAAAGCATCTAAGCACATATCCTCCATAAAATAGGAGTAATATTGGATGTTTTGTTGTTGCTTGAGTGTACAAGGAGGTGATGAAAACACTTTGATCATGTTATGAGTGTGTGCAGGGAAGAGTCTCTATTATAACATATCTGGTTCTTAGACTTTCCTCCTACTGAACAGTGTGCAAATCCTGATTCCAAGTATCTGTGATAACTGAAACTTGGTAGATATGATACCTGGGCACCTTGGACAGGAGAAAGATAAGGTTAAAAAAAGTGTAGAGAGGGATTAAAAATGGCAGAGTAAAGACTGGCAAAAAATATAGCTGTTCCATGATCTGGAATTAAAACATCTGGAAAAACAGCTCAGTGAAAGGGAGAGGAGAGAAGTAAATTTCTGGGAGTTGGGAGTGGGAGAAAGCTGCAGGAAAGCTAGAAACTGCAGAGAAACTAGAGAAACAGCACGACACACAGAAAAGAACAAAGCAATATGGAAAGTTAATCCCAGCTCCTTGGGAAGAGAAGTATTTCTACCAATACAAGAAAACTCGGTGCCGAACCTCATCTTCCCCTCCCCAAATTCACAGAGGTGGTTGGTTTTTGGGAAAGAGAGAAAGCCCTACAGTTAGCCATCCTCAGGCTCCATTACTAAAAAGCAGACACTAACTAAAGAGGTCTCTATACTAGCAACAAAGTCCACTGTAATTGACCTGCAGCCCTTTGCATATACACACAATAGAAACACAAGAAAATGGGGCAACAAAACGCCTCCAAAAACCTCCAAACTCCCACCAGTCTGATCCATGAGACATCAGAGGATGTGAATTAAAACTCAAACAGCTGCATTGCATGCGACGGTAAAAAGAGAAAATAGTACAGTTATAAGCTCAGTGAGTTCAAAGATGATGTAACTAAGCAAATAAAAATTTAATAAAATCATCAGTGAGCCTCAAAAGACAATAATAAAAAGCAAGCTGAACTAAACCAAAAAGTACACAATATGACCAGTTTAGTGAAGAATCAGAGTTCATAAAAAAGCACCAAACAAATCCAGAAGATAAAAAGATTCTGTTGAAAGTATGGACATCAGAATGTGAGGATGAGAAAACAAAACAAAAACAATGTGAGGTTAGAGTGTAAGAACTACAAATATGGCTAAAGCAGGTGACCACAGACTCAAGAGAGATCATTAAAACAGTAAGAGAATATGGAAAATGAATCAAACAGCTGCTAGATGATGCAAAGAAGACTAATTGATTAGAATTAATGAAAAATCATAGGACAGCACAAATAGCACAAACATAGTTTAAAGAAATAACAGCAAAAAATCTTAACAAGTACAGGAAATTTAATATGAAGATAGGTGAAGCATACAGAATCCCAAATAGCCATGATCAAAAAAAGAGTATCTCCACAACACATCATGGTCAAAATCCTGGAAGTCCAACACAAGGACAGAATTTTAAAAGCTCTAAAAGAAAAGCAAAAAATCATTTACAAAGGTAGACCTATTAGAATTACAACCACCTTCTCAACATAAACATTGAAGGCCAGGAGAGCTTAGAGTGAAGTGCTTCAAGCCCTACAAAAAGCCAAGTTCTAGCCTAGGCTGATATACCCTGTAATACTCTTTCAAAGTTGGCAGAGAAATTAGGTGACAAAGAACACCTTAAAAATTGATGGCCACAAAACTGGTACTACAAATAATTCTCAAGCATATTTTAGAAAGAGACCCTGAAAACAATAATGCCAAAATGTCTAATGGAATGACCACACCATGTAGGGTGAGTGGTTAAACAGAAGGGGAAGGAACACTACACTTGAATATATTTTGCAATATTCTACTGTATTTGGTCAAGTCTCCAAAAGAAGGGAGAGTC